ATGGATGAGTTCCAACCCGAAGCATGCGGACGAAACAACATAATGTTGAAAAATGCGTTCAGTAAGCGACACGGGTAAATGTTCCGATGAAGTTGCTGTCCAAGAAAGGCATGCGGCAAGTCGGCTTTCACCACGTGTCAGTAACTGGTCAACATGTTTCTTCCACCCTAAATTTTGTTGCAAAGTAACCCCTAGGTAGGTGTAGGTTTGCACCAGCGGCACGTTTTGGCTACCCAGGTGTGCATCCTGGCACCACGCCGAGGGCTGGGACCGAAACGTATGACGGCAGTTTTCTGTGCACCAACAGCAACATTGAAACGCCATGATTTGGCCCACGCATCTGCTGCATCCAACGCTCGTTGCAGATCGTGAGGGCAGTTGCTCAAGATTACGATGTCATCGGCATAAAGCAAAACTTGAACGGTTAAATTGTTGGCGCTATATTTCCTGCTGCGCAAGTCGCACCGTTGCAAGCGCGTTTAATGGCTGCTGCTGAACCATTGATCAAAATGTTAAACAAGAAACCACTTAAGACAGCACCCTGACCAATACCATGCTCAACATCCCAATCAGGTGACATAGTTGATTGAATTCGCGCTGATGCAGTGCGATCCGAAATAAAGTCATCTATCAAGTGCCATAACCCACCTTGAACTCCGGTACGGTGCAAGCGCAGCAGTGCCCCATCTTTCCCCGCAACGTCAAAAACTTTGCGTGTGTCAAGGAAAGCACAGAATGTGGTGGCATTTTGTCGGACACGAAGAGATTCAAGTAAGGCATAGACTTGCACATCAGCTCCAAAACGAAATCCTGCTTGGGCTTCATCAAACAAAGGGTCAACATCCGGCTGGATCCGATTTAAAACAAGTCGTTCGCGGATTTTTGCAAAATAACATGTCAGAGTGATGGGACGAAAACCATCACGATCAGCGGAGGCGGCGGCTTTAGGCAGTGGGACAACAATTCCGTGCTTCCATACAGAAGGAATGCTGCAGAGATTTCGGCACAAGTCAAGAAATTGAAGGATGGCATGCCGCCACCAGGCCAGATCGACGCAGAATGCCTCATACGGAATGTTATCGACACCCGGTGCCTTGTTTGTGGAACAGTGGTGCAATGTTTGCTCAAGCTCGGGCAACGTGAAAGACTGTCCGGTGTTGACGTGCACCGGCATCACCGGCTGTTGCTCACGAATGCGCCGGATGCGACGCTGGACACGTGCCAAGTGCCGTTGACTAAAGGCGTCAGCCCCTTGAGAGCCGGCACGCATAAAATGGTCTGGTCACGCCACTCCGCTACACAAGCATTCTGTTCGTCTTGAGGTATGGACGGATTAGGACACAAGTGTGGTGCAATTCGAGCTTTGTTGCGGCGAAATCGTCGCCGAACAGCTCTTGCGGCAGTCCGGGGGCAAACCGACTGACATTTCTCAACGTACTGCAGCCAGGAATTTCAAAACAGCTGCTATTTCTTTTACATCCGCTCGTCGGCCCAGGCTCGGACGAACTCTGGGCTGCCAGCCCCGCACGCCAAAGCACCAGCCCCGTGCGATCTCCTTGCGCATGGCCGAGGGCCGCAAGCGCGCAACGCACCCGGAGTTGCAGTGCGGGGGCGGCCAACGCCTCTTCGTCCTAGCTGTGGAGGTCGGGGAGCGCTGGAACGCCGACTCGCAGGCGCTTGTTCGACAGCTCGTCCGCGTCCCGGCGCTCCGCGCGAAACCGGCCCAGCCGCTTCCACGGCCTGGATGCGCAGGGTGGGGCATGCGGTGCAGAACGCTGTTGGCGGCAGGGCCCTGGGCGTTGAGCCAGCTGGCCCGACCCGCCTCCCGTTGTACCACGCGCGGGGCATGCCCATCACGACGGGCCACAAGACTTTGTCACGCGACTCCACAGCTTCTCCGGGTCAAAACAAGCCTTCTACGTTTCTTTAAGTGCGTCGTGCGCACGAAAGCTGGAATTCGCGGCGAGTTACACGACCTCGCAAAAATGGAGATGCTGGTGCACGAGTAGTAAATTTCCACTATCCAAAGCATCTAAATTGCGAATACCAATCAGACCGGGTAATGGCAGAGGACAGGACCCAGAATGGGCGCTCGCGTCCATTTTGAAGGGGTCCTGTCCAAAATGGGCCCCCTTTCTGCATCCACGTCCTGCATCCATTTTTTCTGCATCCGCCCGAGTCGTCGCCAAGCCTTTGGGCGAATCTTGAGGAGGCAGCGTGCGGCCCGGACTGCAAAAGCAGCATGGCCTGGGCACGAGGTTGCCAAAAAAAAACAATTCAAAGCACTCCAAAGTTGCAATGCCCTGCAAACTCAGGGATATATGGAATGCATTTTCCTTAGATTCCCAAACGAATTTTCCATTATGGATTGTGTGAGCGGCACCTGTGAGTTGGGACAGGTCTGTGAGAAGTCTTTGAGCAGTATTTGCGAAAATCTGCGAACGGGGCCGGCCTGTGAGCGAGCTGCCAAAATTATGTGAAATGAGCTGTAAGAATTCTGAGAACGGGGTGTGACGGTGGGCCCGGCTCACACAAATCTCATGGCGCTCACAAGAGCTGGGGCTCGACTCCTGTAAAAACCCAGTGAAATCGTGGATTCGGGCCTGTGAGCGAGGCTGTGAAAACTCTGTTAGCGGGGCCGTGAAAATTGTGTGAGCCGGCCCCCGCTTTCAGCCCCGCTCACACAAGTCTCACGACCTAGGCTGGGCCAGTGAGAAGGGCTGCAAGAATTGTGCGAACGCAGCTATGACAAGACTTGTGGGCTGGGCAGTGAGCGGGTTTGAAAGTCGGCACCCGCCGGTGGGAGACGTGGGAGTCGCCAGGCGGGCCCCGCTCAGAAAAATCTTTGAATTGCGGCCCAGCTCACAGGAAACTCCCTGCTCCACAATCTCCGTTCTGATATTTTCACATCAACACTCACAGGAAAATGAGTTACCTTGTTTCAGAGGTTCCAAGACCTTCCACTTACACTCATAGCTGCCAGCCCTGGCTCTGCTCGCCAGATTCAGGCAACTCGCTTTGTCCGAAGAGTACCGGCCGTGGTGCACGTCGTGCCAAAAAAAGCGGCCTTGCCATCATCGAGCGCGCACCCGCTGCAAGCCGAGTCCTCCCTGATGAGCCGGTATCAATGCGAGGTGGCGTGTTGCAGCGACCTCGGGTTCGCATCGTCCTCTTCGCTCCTCTTCGCCGAGCAGCGTGGGCAGGCAGTGCCAGACGGCACCGTCGTGGCCACGCGCATAGCATGTAGAGAGATGTCGTGCCGGAGGGTGTGCAGCAGGTGGTCGGCATGGGCGAAGTGCACATGTCCAAAAGCAGCCAAGTGCACTGGAGGTCGGGCAGCATGGGGAGCTCAGGCAGTGTGCCTCGTCAAGCAGGCGCGTCGATGTGACATGAAGCCGATGCCGGAGTGGCCAATGCGATGAACCCACGCTCGGAATCGTCTGCGTGGCCACGCCACACACCAGCCCCAAGCTCGGCGAGGCCATGGGGAGCTTGCCCTCCAGCACGATTGTGCACCCGAGTTTTGCCAAGGCGGCGACGCTCGACCGTGTCTCAATGGAAGTGGTGACGGTGTCGGGAGCCTGACGTGCCGCACGTGCCCGTGCCAGTGTGGCAGTGTGTGGAAGCGCGTCGTCGAGGCGGTCGTCCGCAGTGACCGGCGCGCCTGTCCGTCAGTGAGACTTGTGGTCCCGCCCCAATGCGGTGTCTAGGCTTGGGGCACGGGCCGTGGGTTGATCAGCCGTAGTGGCTTGAGGCAGGATTAGCCGCCGAAGAATGGCAGCAACGGCAGCACAAAAACTCTGCCGGTGAGTGCAGACGGAAGGTGGTGTGAGGAGGAGCAGGCGCGATGTGAGCAGGAACTTCCAGCTAAGGCCCCCGCCAACAGACGTCGCTTCATTGACCACCAGGTCCAAGCGGTGCCGATCGCCGGAGCGGACATTGCCACTCTTGAAATCGAACACCTGCCGCATGCCACTCGGCTGCTGCAGTGCTAGATCGTGATCGTCGAGACGGTACCAGGCCGTTCGGACAGTTCATGCAGGCAAGACGCCGGGAACCAGAGATCACATGATTTCTACTTTCTACTGGCACCCTGCGTCGTCAGGGTGACTTGGGAGTGCGGTGGTGCCTTCTACCACCACTGCCAGCAAGTGGGCTGGCTGCCAAAGGCATTCCGGTGCAGCACAAGGACGAAACGGATACTTGTGTCGATCGTCGAAGAGCTGCGATGCCCTGGCGGTGCCGGTGTTCTGTAGGCAAGTTCTCGGGCGCGGGATAGATGTGCCGGTCCGGTGATGGCTGTCAAAGAATCGGAACTTGCCCAGCAACCCGACTTTGCACATGTGACGGACAATACTCAGCAGACCTCGCTGGAGGGCCACAAAAGCCTGTTACGGGCAGCTGGCTTGAAATGTGCACGCTCTTCCGGTCACGAAAGCACCGTCCCACCAACACAACGACAAATTTGCGACTGAGGAGTCTGCACGATTCTGCATATCGGATCCAGCACACTACAGTAGCAGACCACGAAATACGCTTGATATGTGCGTGTGTGCGGTTCGTGCAATATGTTGGTTTCTACTTGTGCGGGCTCAGCATGAACTTTCGCTACTTCGGATCCAATGATGCATAGGGCTCTGCAACAGTCGTGCTCATGCACGATTGCGAATACTTTCGCATGCTAAGACTTGAAAGAACTTGCTCGCATTTCGCAAGTCACCAAGCGGCTCGCACCACAAGTCTGAGAAGAATAGACCAGAGTTAGGAGATGCAGACAAATCTTTCAGCAGATCGAGAAATAGTGCTTGGCAGTGCTTGCATTGACCATCTCAGAAACTTGGGAAGAGAGCTCCAACGCAAAAGGAAAGCCGTGCACCGTGGTGCCTCAACGTTTGCTAAACCGTGCGTTCAGGGCTCAGGGCTGGCTTACACGTCCCTCGTCAGGCCCCGCGCCACCGAAACGCCCCCGCCCTTTTCCCTTTTTGTTAGCGAGGCCAAAGTCAGGATGTACTTTCGGTGGGTTCGCTGTCACTCGATGCAGAGCTCACCGAGATCCTTGGTGATGCAGTGCGCTTTACAAAAAGCTCCCCAGGTTTGGTCGAGTTTAGAGGCTGAAGGAATCTCAAGCATCTCGGACACCGATGGGTTTCTGTCATGCAGCTTGGCCGCTTTAGCAGCATCGGTTCGACCTTGGAGCTTCTAGATATCAGCTCTAATCTTCAGTCTTCTGGGTGTCGCATGCAGATTTGTCTCGTCGCTGTCGCAGACTTCCGAAGCTCGGAAAGCAGCCTTTTCGGCGTACAGGCCAGAGATCAGCCAAAGGCATAGCACAAAGAAGACCTGGACTGGCACAGAAATGCAGAGAGTACGACTCTTACGAGTGTTATGGCGTGTTCAGAAATCATGAGAGATCTGCTGAGCTTGCAGCAAACCCTTCGGCGGAATCCTCAAGGTCGGGAACGAAGGCTTCGATAGACCTGCAAGCCACACTTAGCCTTAGCAAGGTGATTCTCATGCCTCCTTCTGCCATTATCACCGCTTATTCTACATTCGGCAACCTGCGCTAGGTCGTCATCTGGCACGATATGTCAAGATTATCTCTTCACGCCATGATGACGATGGTTCTGAGTCTGAATCTGACAATGATAATCATGATGATGCTGCTGCTGTTGGTGGTGATGACTGTGGTGGTGAAACGATGATCTGGTGGTAGGGAAACGAGGTTCCTGACGACACCCCGACGCAACGCGACCGCAAAGATGATACGTCCCATATCTTGGGGGGTCACAGTCATCGTTTAAAGGCATGCTTGCCGTCATCCATCTCGCTGCCTGAAGAGCGGCTCCTGGAAGAGATAGACGTACAGACTGTAGTGGCCCAGGCTCGCCTCAGCTCAAGGTTTTCAGTGCCGAGGCCACCGAGGCCACCGGGGCCACTGCCATAGACTGATGCTTGAGCACTGTCTGAACAGCACCCTTGCCCCCACCTGTCACGTCCGACGTCTGGCATGGGGATTCTTTCCCTGTACGCAGCCAAGCTGCTGTGCCTTGCGAGGAGCAAAGGAGGAAGCTGGCGATCAAGGGCGCCAAGAAATGGTCAAAGCTCGAGGCCTCCGTGTGACATGTCGCAAGTGCCTCACTGTCACGGCAGAGCAGATGGCTGCAACCATGGCCGTGGTTGACAATGGTTGACCCTTCCGATCGCACTCATTGCCGTCCTCCTGGAAGAGCTCAGCTTCATCCCAGGCATTCCTGTTACCCATTGATCGCTGTCACAGCAAGCTGAAGGCAGTCCCCGATTGTCCCTTGGCGCTGCACACCGTGCCTAAAGCTAGCAGGGACGAAGGTCACGAGGCTCACGATGATGGCCTGAATGGACGGACTGCTGAAGCAGAAGCTGGAGCCTTGAGCGGCTCGAGAGAGAATAGGCTGAGGTGGCCCTAAAGCATATAAAGCTCTCGAGCATGCGTGCGTAAGTTCTCAAACAACAACCTGGTGATCTTGGTGGCAGTGCCAAGACTCCGACAGCACAGGCATCAGCGAGCAGGCCCCATGGTATGCGGCCTCAGTAGGTTCTCCCTCTCGAAGTCACGATCGCTGCATGACAGTAGGACTACCTGCATCCACAACCCACTCCCTTTCAAGCGTGAGGCCAGTGGAATCCGGCCCTGCTTCTACCTCACCGGAGGCATTGCTCATTTAAAGCACGCAGCGTAAGTACAGCTCAACAGCCTGCTACTCGTACTAGTCAGCGATGCCCGGCTTACATCGGCTTTGTTTTCACCAGCGGCTCAAGTGAGGCTCCTGTGCACGACTTTGCAGGAGCGATAGAAGTGGCGAGGCTGCCATCTGTTGGATGCAGCTTTGCGTCTTGGCACGACTTTGCACGGCAGACACCAGACTCTTTGTTGCGGGGGGTGTTGAGCTGACTCGACGTACATCCAAGCTCAACTTGGCAGCCAAACCACTCGATTCACGACTTTGCGGGAGCCCTGTGCATCTTTGGCATGGCTTCGCGTTGGCGCTGGTATTCAAGATGCCTACCCCGAAAGCCAGGCAGGAGTCGGGCAGCAAAGGTGGAGCCTTGGCAGTGCTATCCCCTATCCCATCCACAAACTAAACTCTCGAACCCTGGCCCAGGCCTCACGTGTGGCTTTCGAAAATCGAGTACGTGCAATGACAGGTCACATCAGGTTGCAGGGGATCTTGCTGCGGGATCTTGGGGATGTTGGCGATGGGGGGACATGCGGAATCAGCTATTCTGGGTCAAGGCTTTGTCCAGTCGCACTGTTGGTCGGGTTGTTTCTGTCCTACAGGTGATCCTTAAAATCAGTGAGCGCAATCGCAACATGGCGACTTGCTAGCGGCCTTCGACGGCCGATGGTCATAGAGCACTGGTAACCTTGCCAGCAGAGCCCCACCATGTCTATCAGAGTACTCTGAGCAGGCTGTGGCAGGGTTCACAGAGCCCTACTTGGAAAGGTGCGATGCACTTTGGCTCAGAGGTAGACTAGGCGCCGCAGCATATGAGGAAGACGGTTTTCCACTGTAGGCTTCCGAACGTCTACGTCTACCGCACGAGCGACATCACAGGGCGTGCAAAGCTCCTGCAGCGTTTCTTTCGCGGAGGACTGTTAGTGGAATAGAAGGAGGCACGTTACGAAGATGTACGACCCAGAGACCAGGTGCTGCGAAGCTGCTGAAACTGTACCAAGACCTGTTGCTTTGAACAATCGAACACTTCCTAGCCCCAGACTTTCCATCTTTGGGCTGGGGCAGTCCTGACGGCAAGAGTGTGGACCATCTACTTTGGGGACCACAAAGGCCCGTCATGATGCTCTGAGGCTCTCATTTCTTTGAGAGATGCCCGTGCCAGGTGAAGCGAAAAAAGTGCGTATGGCGCTTCTCAGCCAACGGCCGGGGCACCGGGAGCACCACGATGGCCAGAGAAGTTGCCACTCTTTGGCCAAGCCCAAGCCCGAATATGAAGTACAGAGTACAGACAGTGCTACAACATCCAAATCACATGCACGGGGCACACATCTGTTCATCGCCATGCCTCAACACCTAAAACGGCTGAGTTATCCTGGCAGCTTGGCAGATGTGGCAGCTTGGTTTTTGCTGCACTTGCTGGGATCTTCCCTTGGAATTCCAGTCTAGTGCTCCTCGCAGGCACGCCAGAGTAGCGCATGGCTCTCGTGAAGAGGTCTCTTGGCTTGAAATGAGTGCAGCATAGTGCAGCCTGGCACCTGTCGGGCGTGCCAGGAGTATCCACATGAAAGCGACTCAGAGACCTGCGTTTCGAAGAGACGACAACGGATCGAAGGAGAAGAAACTGTCTTGGTTGTTTTTGTCTTCGTCACTTCCCACTCCATCACCTTGGATTACGAGGGTGCCGTTGCATAACTTGACGACATCTGGACTCCTCGCCGCCAAAACCAGTGCAGGCAGGCTTCTCGGCAGAGTGTCGCTCGGTGCCAGAAGCGTTGGAAGCTCTGCCCCCAGGTCAGTATCTCCCAGGAACCACTTTCGGCTTCTCAGTAACGCCAACCCATGCAGCAGCCATGGAGGGATGGAGGAGAAAACCAGAGGGAGCTCAAAGTCTAAAGGAATCCCGGTAACGTGCCTTGGTCTTCATCTTCAAAGGGGCCAGCGCTGGGCGAGGCAGTCAAGGCGTTCAGATCGAGGTCGTCATCGTCGTCGGAGTACACCTCGCGTGGACCGTCATCGCATAAATTGCAGGCAACGTCTCCAACACAAATTGTCCTCCGATCGTTCTCTGATCTTCATGCTGCGGACGAGTCCTCTGCCGGACAAGGCACTCCCGAATAGCTGTAGGTGGGAAGTACCTGCGTGCCGTGCAGGAGCAGGTAAGCATAATGTAGGTGGCTGAGCTAGTACAGCAGAGGCAGGCAGCAAAAAAGCTCTAAAATCGCAGGGTGCCTTGTCCAATTCCAGGCGCACACGACCATTGGAAGGTGGTGGACCTGGGCAGCCAGCTCAAACGGCAGAGACTGACAAAAAAGCCCTGATGGAGGCTCGGAAGGACTTGGATGGCCCGTTCGCCGTTCACGGGGTGCTCGGGCTGTGGTCACATGTGGTTGTCAATAGCATCTCACTGGTTGCAGGCGAAGCGTCGATAGCCCCATTCGGCTTCCACCTCTGCCACCTGCCATTTCGGAGCTGGAAGCAAGTCTTGTGCTGGGAGCTCGAGCTGTGGCAGTCCTGGCCCTAGCTCCGACTTGGGATCTGTTTGCGAGCCTCCTGCTCCATCAGGGCTCTTTGAATGATCTGCGCTTCCACATCACGTAGCTCCGGCCTTACAGATCCAAGTTCGAAGCACTGAGGGACGTATCGGTCCGGATCTCACCGGGGTCGCGGCGCGACGATGCCTGGCAAACAGTCGTAGTCGTAGTCTTGGTACTCCGAGTATTGGGTGGGAACCTGTGCCAGGAATGGACAGGAAATCGGATAAACTTCCCCTGCGACGGAGCCGCAATTTCTGATATCTTGGCAGCGCCGCAGCAATCAAACGACACGCGCTGAGGAGATCTGCATGGCGACGAAATGTCAACTGTAGCGAACATAGCTTTCTTCTGGTGGCCTCGTCATGCAGCTGATGCGGTTCCTGGACAGCGGAAGGTTGGGCAGGGCTTGGGCAGGGCACATCTCAAGGGAATCGTAACCGTAACCGTAACCCGTTCCTCGGGCAGCAAAATCTGCTCTTCGGGCAGGTACGGGACATGGTTCACACGATCGACCTGCAACAACTGCTCCCAGTTCACAGCGAAGCCAAGGTGTCATGTGACGACAGCCCGAACATTGCCTGCACTTTCATCGGCGCTGCTTCGGGCACCTTCCGTACCGAACGTTGCAGACGGGTTGGCGATGCCTCCGAACAGGCTTGCCAGTACGAGTAAAGACTCACGATACCACACTGTCGTACACGGCCAACCTGCGCCTCATACTGCCGAGTCGTACCCATTGAAGCCACGAAGCGGCGCTCCTGGCAACCCATCCGTGCACACCAACAGCGGTGTTCTTGTCCTGTTGATGGCTTGATCCTGAACCCCTGACGAACCCCGGCCTTCTTCCGGCGCTTCTTTTCGTCAGGCGGGCACAAATGGCAAAACAGGCATGCCTGCAATGCTGCCAGTCTGAACAGGGTCAAACCGTGTCAACGGTTAGGCAAGTGCTCAAGTCGAAGCCGACGTAACACCCAGTACGCATGATGAGTAGCCTGCCTGTCCGCTCTGGCAGCCATCACATTTCCAGAAGAAGGCGCAGGGCTTGCAGCGCCTGTGAGCCGACGACTTTGCAGTTTACCCTCGGCAGCTTTAAGGGGCAGAGGCAGACGGCAAGAAGACCAGCCGGAACCTCAGTTCGTGTGCGGCGGATCCCACAGAAGGGACCGTCATGCCACCACCACTGAACTGCGATGAAGGTGGCGGTGGTGGAAGCACCTCCGAAGAATCTGCAGGCATCTGCAGGCATCTGCAGGCACGGCGGCGCGGCAGCACACAAAAGACTGAACTTCGCCTGGCGATCGGGAGGTTCCGACGATGGATGAGGAGACACGGACACCAAGTCCAGCAGCACTGAGGCCGCCTCAGAAAGAGGGAGAGAAAAGAGAGCAATCACGGAGGGCACAGTTGCAGTGTGTGCTTCCAGGACGAGTGCAACTGTCCTGCCCCCTTTCCCGGTAAGAGCCGCACCCGCTCCTGCCTGCAGGAAAACGCGTTTAGGAAGCCTACTGGATGGGGTTTGGAGGCAGCATTCAGCCTACACTCCTATACTGCATATACCCTACCTGAATACTTACGGATTATCCCACAAGCAAAAGCTCAGCTCACAACCTTGGCTCGGTTGGCGTAGGCCGGCGAAAAGTCGCCTCATGGTCGTGAGTACACTCCAGACTCCCGTAGCTTCAATCGATGCTTGGATATTCTTGGCCCAGGCTTTCTTCGGTAAGCCCCGCACATCATATGGATCAGAAGCCGACATCAGGGCAGACACGGAGCAGCCACCAAAAACAATGGAAGCGCTCCGATGTGCGATGCCGACGTGCGTCGTGAAAAACTTTGCACGGTCGCAAATGGCGGCTTAGGTCACAGTGGCAGGTCCCGGAGACTAGGCTCTGACTACGAGATGTGCCTGAGATAGGAACACGTTTTACGGTGGATGCTTATCATAAAACTTTCACACATCGTGCTGGCTAGCTCGCGTTGCCCTGGAAGACATCTTCGGAGTTTGAAGTTGAAGCATAACCCATCCAACAACTAGCCTGTCAACTCGGGACAGGGTGCCCAGCGACTGAAACCATCGGTGCTGCGGACAAGCACAGCAGGTTGACGAGTTCTGCATTAGTCACTCTGTGCAAGTTGCTTGGCCACGTCAGCAAAATGCAGTCGGCTGGACTCCCAAGGGTCTGGTGCCAAGTGCGACACTTTCTCCCCCAAGGCTTCGTCCGGTGCCTCCTAAGCGGCTAAGCGGTAACACAGAACATCCACAACCCGGCTCATGCAGTCAACTACAAGTCCTCCACACAGCGCGCTGCAGCTGCTCCAAGGCAGAAATCTGGCAGCGCCGCAAGCGGGAGGAAGTGGCCTGGGAAAGACATGCGAGTGTGCGCCGGCCCAGCGGACTGTGCAAGTAGGGCTGGTGATCTCAGAACTCCTCACACCTAGCGACATAATGTTCCTCGTCCGGTATCCGACTCCAAAGATTGAGCGTGACGAGCAGCTCCGATATGAACCCTGTCTTGTAAAAGCATGCCGTCACGCTAAGTTGAGACACAGGCGGTTGGGGAGAATTTGCTGGCCCAGGCAGGTGATGGCAAGCCAGAGGCTTGCAGCCTTAAGGAAAAAAAGGGGGTTTCACGTGGTGTCTCCAATCATATGCAATCCAACATCTGCAGGCTGTGTAGCCCAAGTCATGAAGAGGCTTGCAATGTCATGCGAGTCATGTAGGTCGCGCTGGAGCTCATTTCTAAGCTTTCGGCGCAAAGCGCAAAGCTGGAGCTTGGGCGAAAACCGCTGGACCTTGGAGCCGCCCAAAGGGGGCCACATCTCAGCTTCGCTAAGGCCCTGGCACGAGTGGGAAGATCGTCCAGCAGGGGACCAGCCTGATGCCGCATCGTCAACAAAACTTTGTCAGAATGGCTGACCGTGGTCTTAAGGCTAGAGCGCCGTGAGGAACCACGCAGCACCAACAGGACAGCGGATTGCCTCCTGGCGTTATGTTGGCGTCCATGAGGCTCCTAGGTCCTAGGTCAGCCTCCACTGTTACTCTCTTCTGCAGGCTACATGTCACCAGTCGCGAGCAAGCGTTTGAGTCATAGGTGCTCTCCTCGCCCCATATCTCTGCCAGCAGTGCGCACTGCAGGGCTTTGAAAGGTGGCCATGGTCGGACGAAAAGGAGGCTCCTTCACAGCTCACTCACACATAACATCTCTCTCGGATGGGCATCTGTCGAGGTACAACTAGTTGGTTGGTGTTGACCGCGTCGATTTCTTCGCGCATTGAGTGTCGCGCATGCTGTCAGGCTACGACACTCCAAACGGTTACCACGCAAGGAACCAAACGGAGGCGATGGAAGAACAGAAACTCTGAAGCAAATGATGTGCAGGCGCAGGTGGGCAAATGTCGTCGAAGAGGCGGCATTAGCAACGCACAGCTTCATTGTTGGTGGCGCCTTGGCGCCCATACACCTTTAGGACTCTAAGGGCACAAAAACACTGGCCTGTGCAATATACTATGCGTGTGTATTAGAAAGAGCCACAGAACGGCGTTGACTAAACTACGCCAACTACTACTGGCCAAGTTTGAAACCGAAAAACTGCAATTAGAGTTGAAAGCCTCGATCCGAAATCCTGCCGCGAGAACGCGGGATTGGGAGTGTATTGCTTTTCGCGCTTATGTCGGCCTTCAGAGTCAGACATTGTCTGCAACGCACCGTATAGCTTCGAGTCGGACTTAAGCCCTAAACCGCAAAACATCCACAAGCCTGAGGCAGCAGAAGAACGGGTCTTCAACCAAGCCGAACGGGGTTTAGGCAGGATTTAGCCATAAACCGTAAACCCTAAAGCATCCTAAAGCCTCAGAGGCTCAAGAGAGGTTTACATTTACATATTATGCCCGCGAGCCAGCCGCTTCGGCACAGAAGTCATTAATCACACCCTGCATCACCCTCCCCAAAAGCAGAAAAGCAGCAATTCGCAACCTCTTGCAAAATCCCGCAGAATCAGAAGTACCCGAAACACCCTTCCCAGAAGAAGAGAAGCAAAAACTCACAACTTCCCGAAAAGAACACAGAATGCGAAGTGGCCGAAACGCCGGAAACATCGTAAATACAGAGTGAATAAACTGAAAAGTGACGAACACACAAGGACGCAACGTGCCACCGGCCAACTACATAGACACAGGTGTCGGCTTGAAGCAACTTCTGGCTACGTTTTCCGCTCTAATCACCCAACCCAGGCAGCTCCATAGCATCGACAGCCAAAACGCCGGCAAAATCCGGAGCATCCGGCGTCCGAGTCGTGACCATTCCTGAACCAAGGCGGTAGGGGAGGTCTTTTCTTGGGCCTGACACTTGCAGAGATGCAGCGGCCTCGGTAGAGGCCTCCGGCGCTTGCAGTCCGGAGACGAAGCCGCTGAGCACGGCGAAGATGTCCGCAGCCACGTTGAGGCGGCGCTTGCCGAACTGAGCCGGCAAGACGAGAGAGACTGCCGAGACGTCAGAAGGGATTTCTCTGACTCAGGGGCAGGCCAGCCAGAAGCCTGCGTGGGCATCAGGAAGAAAGCGGCCGCATAGCACCCAAGTGGCACACAGAAACCGCGCACCTACCAGGACGGGATTGCACAGCGGGACAGGCGAAAGAGAGCCTCATTAGGATGCCTTGGAGGTGAAGAAAACGCTCTCTGGCCATCCCCACCACCCATGGCTAGAGTGGTGCGCAGGGCTTCCTTGTCATGAAGCGAAGCAAAAGCCCTGGCTTGAAGTTTGCTTTTGTAAGCCTGAGCCTCAGGCTAAATGCAATGCAAATGGTCTGGGGGTCGGATGCAGTGCTGATGGGTTTGCGGCTTGTGAGTACCGGCTCAGTCTGCTCTAACTCTAGCAATTCAGCGTGTGCGGAGACAGCACGGTGCAGCAAGATGGTTTCTGTGGACGCTGACAACTCATGTACACAATGTCCTAGAAAATTACATTCCCATGGCTCGGTGCACAGGACCTTTTGTCGTGCGAGCCTTCAGGCGCTCGAGTTTTCCACCCGCTCGTACTCAAGGCAGACATCATTGCCTTGGCAAGAAGAGTCTTGCATTGCTTGCATCGTCCGCATCCGACCGTTAAGACTAAGAGTCTCTTCCATGCGCCAGCCAGGCCCCGTGCCCACTTGGCGCAGGCCTCGCAATGTCCAGAAACGTGCCTGACAATGGGCTACCCAGCAGCAACAGTCCATTTGGGAAGGAAGAAGGCACCATGGCGCCATGCGCGCCTCCTTGATGGTGGAGGTCAGAGGGGTCTGTGCCCACGCCTGCGCGGTGGAGCCGAGCCTTCCGCGCAAGGCGAGAAATTTAAACGGGCAAACCAGCGCATAGGGCAGCCAAGGCCCCTGCATTGTAGCACCGAAGTAAACGCGGAGCTCCTGCAGAATACTGGTATCCCTTGGAAATTGCCTGAAACATTTTAAGACCCAGAAGTTGTGCGCCTGTACCAAGTTTCGTTGCAGCAGCTGTCCCTGCAGCACGGCGCCGCCTTCGACCATCAGCTGCAGGACCTCAGGACTGTTTTGACCCGTCCGTCATGGTCAATGCTGTTATAGCATGCACGGCAAATGCTGTTTCTACTACCTGTACCGCGAATTCAGCTATTTCACTCTTTTTGCAGTGCTTTTCAGCTGTCGATTTTTCTTTTTTTTTCGAGTGTCATGGGTTGCTGATGCGGATGACGATCACGATGATGATGATGATGATCATCATCATCATGATCATGATGGCGGTGAGGGGGCTGTGGAACGAAGCCCGCCTCCCAAGGTACTTGTAAGTCCGAACTTCAGAGCATTGCTTCATGTCCTCGAGCCCAGTCAGTTTGGAAAAAAGTACTTGCTAACCTTGAATCCTTTGTAACGCTTGGGTCCATGTGATTTCCATCAGCCCGAGAGGGAACTTCTCTGACCATGTTCGGCATGATGATGGGGTATGATGGGGTTCTGCGCAAACTCCAAGATTTGCAAAGACTACACGTGCTTGCAGGGGATCTTCAGGGCAGCTGTTTCGAGCAACAAAGGAGATGTTGGCTGGGTGGCCCGTCTTCGCCTTTCTGTTGAAGGTCTGGGGGAAAAGTCTCTCCTCTCTCTCGCCGTCTCGCTCGCTGTCTGATTCCAAGCTTCGCACACCCCGGGCGCCCAGAGCAGTCAGCACGGCATCAAGGTCGAGATGGTCGTCGACCTCACTCCACCAAGCGTAAGAATAACACTACAGCCATCCTAAACAAAACATCCCCTGTGGAAGCAAAAGCTCTGAGCTTGGAAGCTCCGGCGACGCTTCGGCGGCTCGGGTGCCAGGCTGAGGCCTTGGCTAAGGGCACCTCGCAGAAGTCCACGCCGCAGGAACGCCACCTGCGGGTCCCCGTAGGGTCGAGAAGAGCCCCAACGAACACGGACTCTCAGGCGATGCTGCAGCACGGCACGCTTCTTCTCTGACTTCTGATTCTTGACCCTTTTCCTTGGCAGAAAGTCTACGTTCAATCAAACGCGCCACGGCGCGGTCTCGTTTACAATCTTTGTGATGGATGGAAAAGCTCATCCAACCCATCACCCCGATGACCAAGCACCATCGGAGGAGATGCAACGAAACACTCCCTCGTGCTACAGCTCTGCCCGCAAATCAAAGAAGGCGGAGGGCTTCTTCCGCTGCAGGTGGCGCGTCTCAAGCGCATTCGAAAGTCGCAGAAGAACCGCTTCTTCCCAGTGGGCGCCCATCCTGCACTAATGCAACGCAGTT